GGCATTGGGTGCCTGTGGCTGGAACGAAGCCTTTATCCTCGGTTTTATTTAAGAATTATTTTCCCTTGTTATTGCCAAGAAGAGAAGACGACTTCAGCAGATGGATGTCCCCACTGCCATCGTCGGGCCGTAAGCGTAACCTGCCCGACACAGACACAGCACATCACTCACTTCACACTTTTGATCCACTCCTGCTCAGATTTCTTTCTTTCTTAAAAAAAAAAAAAAAAGAAAAAAAAAAGAAAAAATTACAAGCTTTTCCTCAGCTATGAAGTCTGAGTTTGCTTTTCCCTCCTGAATACATCCATCTCCAAAGCTCCTTTTCCTTTGTACCGTGCTGTGCTGTTCCTGTTCTATTCTGCTGACTCCCTTTCCCTTGATTAAGCAAACTGTTACCTGAAAAAAAGAATTAAAAAAACCATCCCACAAACCAATATTCAATCAAGAACTTGAGAGAATCTAATGAAGTTTTAAGGCTAAATTAAAAGAAAAAAGCACCAGCAGCTCGGGATAAGAGGCAGGATGTCTTTAGATAACCCAGGTAACTGCCATCAACGGAAGTTATCTGAAGGGCCTTTCCTGAAGGGCCTACAAGAGTGCTGGAGAGAGACTTTTCATTAGGTATTGGGAAGGAATTTTTTCTTGTGAGGGTGGGGAGGCCCTGGCACAGGTTTGCCCAGAGAAGCTGTGGCTGCCCCATCCCTGGAAGTGTCCAAGGGCAGGTTGGATGGGGCTTGGAACAACCTGGAACAGTGGAAGGTGTCCCTGCTCATGGCAGGGGGAGAAACAAGACAAACTTTGAGGTCCCTTTCAACCCAAACAAGTCTGTGACTCTGTGATGATCCAAGAATGCCCCAACTGAACAGAGGATGTTACACAATGTGGTGTGCTCGGTCTCCACAGAAATCATTTCCATCTTTCCCACTATCCTTGATTGCACAGGCTCATGTGGTGGGCTGGGCAGTATCTAAAATATCCTCCACCAGAACACAGGTCATGAGAAATTCATCTGAGAAAGAGCTCAGACACCCTCCGGCACGACAGCATCCCTGAGAACCACTAAGGGGCCTGGGGAAGTGCCGAGGGAGGTCTCCCAAGCAGCCAATAGTCTTCCCATTCTTCTACCTTCTATTCCAGGGTTTCATTCCCAGGCAACCAGGAGCAATTCCCAAATCATTTCTTCCTCCTACATGTTTCCCACCTGGGACAAAGACACTCGAAGCCAGTGCCATGGCAACCCCATCAGACACACAAGCACTTTGGTTCTTTGGGGAAAATGAAAGTTCTGAAAGGAAGCTGGGAGATAAAGGCTCCTGTTCCTTGTTTCCCACTGTTAGTTAGTAATTACAAAAATACTTTCATCTCAAGTGCTCTCTGGGTGACTAGGTTGTCGTTAAAAAAATACTGTGATATGAAGAGGAGGATGAAATAGGGAAGCTGTGAGTACATTACAACACCGGGTAACCTCCATACTCAAGGTTGGTTGTCAGCATTCTACCCCAGGAAAAGAAAGTGCATGGAAAAAACCACAAAAGAATGAACAGGAGGAAAGATAAACCAAATTCTCAGGGATCAGCTCGAGCAGAATATGATCCAAACCCCGCCTTGTCATCCCACTGACGTCAACCTGAGTCTTCCCACCAACTCCAGAGGACTTGGACCGAGCTTTTATGTTTCTGAAATACAATTTGGGTTTTATTTTACCCCACTCCTGAGCCTGACTCGGTAGAACTTGCACAGAAGACCTCCTGGGTGCAAATTTGATTGTAAATTCCACGGTCCTTTGCCTGTTTCTGTTGTTTCTCGGATGCTTTCCAGGAATAAGGTTAATGATCACACATCTCGGTGATGTTTCTGAGCGTATTAACAAAGAGCAGCTTCTTTTCATCCCGCCCAGACAGAATGATATCATTGTTGTACTTTCAAACCCTCCCAAAATCAGGCTTGTCCTGAGAGAATTTCTTTCCATTCCTAAATGAAAAGCTGTTTGGTGAGAAAGTCCTAAAGATTTATTTCAATACTGTTTTAACACGACAGCCTCACACATTGTTATATGTTTTTCCTGTCTGCATAGCTCGCTTGCTCTCTGTCTCTCAGACACCGAGTCTTTGATCTTCATTTCTTTTTGCCTTTAAGAATAACTATTTTTTGATATAACAGCCATTATTTGGGAATAACACTCACAACATGAACACTGACCATGATTACCTTCAGTACCCCACTCAAATGAGAAGCACAGATGTTCGGTGTCTTCAGGATCAAGACTTAAATGACTGGGGAAGTCGAGCTTACGAATGTCATCCCAGGGCAATCTGACATGGAAAAGCTGTCAGGAGACTGTCGGGTGTATTTACACCCATGGAGAACTCTAGGCATTGTCCTGCTCTGTGATAGCATTCCCAGACCAGACCTAACCACATGCTCATGCCAGATGTTTAAAAACAAATGTCCAGTGTCTCATCCTACCACATTTCTGAGTTTTTTCAATAGCTGGGATTTCCCAGGGGAGGCCTTGGCATCCATCCCGCAGAAGAGGAAGAGCTTCCCCTGTCCAGAGGAACCAACCTGAGCTCAGCACTTCAAAGCAGCAAACAGACTCACCCCGTGCGATGGAGATCACAGGCACCAAGCAGCACTTGGGGTTTTAAAAATGATTTTAACATTTAGTGGTCAAGTGCTTCCCTGCACTGCCACACCTGGCAGAAGAGAGAGCAGATTCCAAGGAATGCAGTCAAATGAGATCCTTTGAATTACAGACAGATTACCCATGACATACAAATAGTCAATCCTGCCACCAGGCTGTCAAAATATGGAAAATTATCATCATTTCCCTGATATCACAGACTGAGAGCAGAGGCATTTTATAAGCATTAAAGATATAAAACTATCCATTTTTCCCTGGTATCATCAAAACAACCCCCAAGTAGTCAGGGCCATTTATATGCAGGAGATTCTATTCCCACCAGAATGATTGAAAAGAGTGAGGTACAAAAAAGCAATAATTAATGAAGGGGTTCTTCAAGGAGCATGAGTTGGGTGTGCACACACACACAGAACAATTCCCCACAAGAACGGGGTAGGATTTCCAGTCTGATTTCTGGAGTGTCTCATGTAAGGCTCTTCTAAAGAAACCAATCTCTACACAAAGCAAATGATGAAACCAATACATGCAATATGCTGCTGTCATTCCCTAAACAGGCGCTCCAGAGCCAGGGATACCATAGGTAAGAATCAGCACAGGGTGCTGCTCTGGGGTGAAGGTTGAACCCACACGATCCAGTAGCTCAAGGTATCCCAGTATCTTCCCCAGAACCCCAGATCTCTGGTTCCCAGCTAAGAAAGCTCCCTGAAACTTCACCACAAAGAACAGCCATAAAGAAAGACACAAGGAGAGATCCTAAGTGTGCTTACTTCCATGAGAACACAGTATATGAACCAATTAATGTCCCTTGCACTGTGGTCACTGCTAAAACCTTGCTCTCAGGATGGCAGCTTTTCCACTTAAAACTCCTACGCACATTCTGTCTGACTGTTGGAACAATGTCCAACCAATTCCCAAATGCTATAAAATCCTGCAGGAATTCCAGATGTCCTGTCAGACTGAAGCTCTTCCACAGAGCTGGAAGCTTTCCTCTTAGGAAAGTGGCTTTCTGTAGGGAGAACAGGCCACAGCGTGTCCCGTGTCACCGTGGAGGAAAGGCTTTCACACAGCATTTCCCAGCTTTTGGAAACACTTCACTTACTACCACGACTTAAAGTACTTTTTTATCTTAATGACTGTTTTGTTGAGTCATCTGTCATCTGTTGCTGAGAACTTGGATTTTTGTCTATGCTGGCTGAACTCCCAAACCACCAGCAGACCGTTCTCTGCGTCGCTGCCTCTGGCCCAGGCACGGGGGTGGGAGCGGAGTCACAGAAGACGGAGGAAGATGTTCATGGCATCGATATGCCACTGATAACTCCATCACTGCAAACATTTCCTCAGGCTCCACAGGCTTGGGCAGCTTGCTAGAACCCGTCATAGAATCGTCTGGGTTGGAAAAGCCCTCCAACCTCACTGAGTCCAACCGTTCCCCCAGCAATGGCAAGGCCACCACTAACCCATGTCCCCAAATACCACATCTTCATGACTTTTAAATCCCTCCAGGGACAGTGACTCCACCACTGCTCTGGGCAGCCTGATGCCTGACCACCCTTTCCATGAAGAAATTTTACCTCATATCCAATCCAAACCTCCCCTGACACAACTTGAGGCCGTTTCCTCTATACCTGTCACTTGCTACCTGGGAGAAGAGACTGAATCCTACCTGGCTCCAATGTCCATTCAGGGAGTTTTGACTTCCTTTCTGAGGTCTCCCCTGAATCTCCTCTTCTCTGTGCTAACCCCCCCCAGATGCACGAGCTAAACTGGAATCTTGTTGGGGCACCAAAAGCAAAGTAGCTCTAGTTCTGTGTGCTGCATGTTATTGTTCTTTTATTTCCCAAAGCCTTTCGAGGTCCATCAACATGCAAACACAACACATGAACAGGAATTTGAGAAGCTGAGAGATGCTGAAAAACAGGCAGAGCACTGACAGGGAGCGGAGCTGCTCTTTCATCCTCAGCCCAGAGGCTCAAAACCCTCGGCCCCCACTATGCAATGCCTTGGCTTGTAAGGGTTTGTGCAAAATTAAAGAAAACATACAAGCAAATGGATTAAACTACACGATAATTATTCTCAGACACGATAATTACTCTCAGATGGACCAACCACATTATCTTCAAGGCAGAGGGAAACCCTTGGATGTGACAAAATATATCCGACCCACACAAGTGCCTTCAGACCGCCTGAACTGCCACCAGCAGAAGGAAGGAAACAGTAAATTGGCACAGTTTCGCTGTCACTCAGAGACAAACAGGACCCAAACTTTAAACAGGAGTTGTGTGGCCTCTTTCCAAAGCTTCCATAAGCTGGAGTCACTCGAGACAGACCTGCAAAGAAGCCCCCCAGGGTACTGTACCTTCTGTGTGGACATCGGGGAGCGTGTCGGGGGGATGCTGCGCTACTGCTGACCGCCGGTACACCATGTGGATCCTTCCCTTCTCCTCTTCCATCTGCTTGCCTCTTTCCAAGGGCTCAATGAAGTACTCATCCTCATCGGTTCTTATCATTCCAGCCTGGTGAGGAAGAGAGACAGCACGTCCGTGTCACTGCAGAGCCTGAAGACCCAGACAGAGGCTCCACAAGCAAATATCAAGGGGGTGCAAAGTATAAAACACTTGGAATATTACTGTAACCAACAGATTTCTTTTTCCCCTCCCCCAGATTTCATCAATAAAAAGAGCTTGAAATTTTCCAAGTGAATGGAGGGAGAGAGAGGGGCAGAAGCAGGTACTGCATTTTGAAGTGAATCTCCCCTGTAAACTGCACTGCCAACCAAGCGTTTCCTTCCCCCCAGGCAGGTGCTCGGAGCACGTACTCTTCAACACTCCCCTGGAGAAAAGGCTGTTGGTGGATTTTCAAGAAAGAACTATGTAGTGGAAATTTTTTTTTTTTTTTTTTCCACAAAACACGTTGATGGAGCAATCCAGGAAAGCACAGTCTGCAATCTTGGAATGCTATTAATTTTACTACTTTTTTTCTTCTAAATTAACAACGTTCAGAATTTCCAGCCGCTGAAGGAAGCAGGGTGGAATCCGTGCTGCTGTGCAGTTCTCTAGAGCTGTCCTCTGGATTCTGGGAAAACGGGAAGACAACGGGACCACCAAAATCTAAAAGCAGCCTTTGGGACACAGTGGCTGGAATAAACCTGCCTGTTCCCAGAACCATCTCAGCCCTGAGGCTTGGGGAAGTGGATTCACTTCCTGGCTTTCTCACAGACTCGCTTCTCCCAGGGGAGAACCCAGAAAAAAATCTGCCCAAGGTCCGGTCAGCACCCCATGTGCACCCACCTTACTCCCCAACATCTCTGCTTGTCTTTAAATGACCCCTGAACACATTTCATCCCTGCAGCTCTTTCCATCCTCCTTGATCCAGGAGCAAACCGAGAGGACTCTGTGGAACTGAAGTGATGCAGGAGCAAGTGCTGCTGGAGTGCATCATAAAAGGTAACTGGGAGCAAGGCCAAACCCAGCCTGGCCCAGACAGCCCACCTAGGAGGACTCCCCAGAGGACACTGTGCCTTGTATCCTTTACTGGACAATCCACGGATAACCCAAAGCCTGGAACAATGCACATAGTTGGGTTTTTTTCCCCATGCAAAAGACACAGACAAGAATAAGAGAATTAGCAACAATATAAAGCCTTGAGAAAATAACCTACAAGGGCAGGTTACACTAAGGAATCACTTCCCCAGCCAAAATCAACAGTGTTTAAGGGGGAACACGATTCCCTATAAATATGCATGGGGTGGTTGCTGGAAAAGAGGAAAGAGCCCTTCATTCAGGGAGCACAATGGAGAGCTGTGGAGTGACCATTAATGGCCACATTTAACTTGGGTGTTACACATTAGGGTGGGATTTCCAGAAGTATTTTAGGAAGTCAAATGCCCTGTTTGTAGTGGTTTGCAGTAAGGGAGAGGCGGTGAATTCCCAGGGGAGTTTTGGAAAGGCCACCCTCGA